ATTTCCTTACATGAATGAGCTGATAATCAGCTGAATACTAGAGGGTGACTCTGCCTATCTTAGAAGTTCTCTTTCTGTGTAGCTCTCTCCTCTCCAACACTTTGTCCTGTGAACTCTAACTGCCTTCATCTCCCCAGATGGTCAGCTCCATCTCATCTACTTAAGGAGTCTGCTGGGCTCTGCCTGGATTCTTCCTCCCTACACAAGGGCTTGGACTCACTGTCAAGAAATTCACTTGGAGAACTGTAGGCCTCACCTCATTTGTTTCCAGTGTCTCAAGAATCACTGTCCTAGATTGCCAACAAACACATGAAAAAATGCTCAACATCACTAATCATTAGAGAAAGGCAAATCAAAACTACAGTGAGATATCACCTCACACCAGTCAGAATGGCTATCATCGAAAAATATACAAACAACAAATGCTGGAGAGGGTGTGGAGAAAAGGGAACCCTCTTGCACTGTTGGTGAGAATGTAAATTGATACAGCCACTATGGAGAACAGTATGGAGGTTCCTTAAAAAACTAAAATTAGAACTACCATACACCCAGCAATCCCACTACTGTACATATACCCTGAGAAAACCATAATTCAAAAAGAGTCATGTACCACAATGTTCATTGCAGCACTACTTACAATAGCCAGGACATGGAAGCAACCTAAGTGCCCACTGACAGATGAATAGATAAAGAAGATGTGCCACATATATACAATGGAATATTACTCAGCCATAAAAAGAAATGAAATTGAGTTATTTGTAGTGAGGTGGATGGACCTAGAGACTGTCATACAGAGTGAAGTAAGTCAGAAAGAGAAAAATAAATACCGTATGCTAACACATATATATGGAATCTAAAAAAAAAAAAAGGTTCTGAAGGACCTAGGGGCAGGACAGGAATAAAGACGCAGACTTAGAGAATGGACTTGAGGACACGAGGATTGGGAAACGTAAGCTGGGATGAAGTGAGAGAGTGACATGGACTAATATACACTACCAAATGTAAAATAGATAGCTAGTGGGAAGCAGCTGCATAGCACAGGGAGATCAGCTCCATGCTTTGTGACCACCTAGAGGGGTGGGATAGGAGGGTGTGAGGGAGATGCAAGAGGGAGGAGATATGGGGATATATGTATATGTATAGCTGATTCACTTTGTTATAAAGCAGAAACTAACACACCATTGTAAAGCAATTATACTCCAATAACGATGTTAAAAATAAAAGAGAATCACTGTCCTTTATTGCCTGATATACAATGCCTTTAAAACTATTACCTCATGCATTTTGTTCGTGATCTGGTTGAGTCAGGTGTGAAGGTAAATCTAGTTACTGTAACTCCATCCTTTCCAGAAGCAAAGTCTCAAAGGAACTATTGAAATGGCTTCATAACTGGTTTCCCTACTTCTAGGTTTGTTCTTCTAATTTTATGGTGAGTTTCCTACTTTAAATCTTTTGCTAACTCCAAATTGTCAAATCAACAGTGCCCAAGTTCTGTCTTTAGACAATGGTCAACTCTGTGGTGAAGTTCTCACCAGAAAAAAAGAGAAAAATAAGAATAGTGTATCAAGTTTTAAAAACCATTTATTGTGAAATATAACATCAGAAATCTTCAGGATGTATAAAAACAATTATACAGTTCAGTAAATTATCACTAAGTAACAATCCATTTAACATCACCAAATTAAGAAATAGAAAATTTCCAGCTCTCCAGAAACCCTACACAGGTCCCTTCCAAGCCACATATATATATAGGTACTGTGTTTTATCTTGCTTATTTTTTTCAATAACTGCTTATAGTTAGCCGAAGTTAACTATACATTGAGATATGGTGGACTGCAGTTGGAACCTCACTGAAATGAGGCAATCAGTGCGACTTTCCTAAGGAAGTTCTGTTTAAATTGAGTCATAAAGAATAAGTAGGAGGTATCCATTTAAGGAGGAAAGGAAGAGAGGTAACTTGAGAAAAAAATGTGTTCTTTCCAGGCAGAAGTTACTTTTGGCTAATCTAAACTACCAAACACACACACACACACCTGTGAATGAGAAGGGGATAAGACTACCGAAGATAGGTATTAAAATCATCATAAAATTGTATAAAATGTCATTGGTATTAAACTTGAAAATTTCAATAAGATTAATATTTTTCTAGGAAAAACTGAATTATTATTGAAAAAGAAGAAATCAAATACCTAGTTATACTGTTAATCATTAAAGGATTTTTAAAGTAATAAAATAATTATTTAACTATCCTGGTTTTAGCAATTTCATGGGTGTTTTCTTTCATATTAACAAGGAACAGATAATATTTCTTCTATAGAATATGTTGAGGCACAGAAAAAATGTAGAAGACTGCAGTTCATTTTATGAAGCTTTTAAAGATAACCCCAAAGTCTATTGATTAGTCTCATCTATAAATAATAAAAATACTAGGAAAAAATTATCTAACATCAAATAAAAGGGAGCATGATCAAGAAGAGTTTAGTCTAGAAATAAAAGTATAGTAGCAAATATATTAATAAATTAAGTATATCAACAGATAAAATATAAAATTGATCATTTTATGTAATACTAAATATTGATTTATGAAACAAATATTTTTTGAGTACCCATTCTGTTCCAGGTGCTGTTTAAGTTCTGGAAATATAGGATAAGCAATACAATATCCCTACCACCATGGAATTTATATTATAGTGACAGAAAAATATATTAAATATTTTAATAAAAGAATAAATAATATAATTTCAGGTAATACTAAGGTGTTAGATCACCTTATGAAGGAAGGAAATGTGTCATTTAGAAAGAAACAGCTATTTTAGAAGGCAAGTGGGAAAAAACTGCTCAGATAAGTTTGGATGATGCAGAGAAGAGTTTGCTAAGACAATATTTGAAAGAAGAACTTTGAAAGCAGAGAACAAATATAAAGTCTCCAAGGTGAGAATAAGGATGGTATGTCTTGGGGGCAGTAGGAAAGCCAGTGTTGGTAGATAAGAGTTGGGTAGGAAGAAAATGGTAAGAGATACAGCCGGAGAAGAAGACATAGGCCAGATCTCAAAGAAATTTTCTTGCTATAATTTTATTTTAAGTGTTAACGGATGCCAATTGGAGAGTTTTAAGCAGAAGTGATGTAACCTGATTTCCATTTTTAAAAAGGCACTCTAGGGGCTTCCCTGGTGGCGCAGTGGTTGGGGGTCCGCCTGCCGGTGCAGGGGACGCGGGTTCGTGCCCCGGTCCGGGAGGATCCCACGTGCCACGGAGCGGCTGGGCCCGTGAACCATGGCCGCTGAGCCTACGCGTCTGGGCCCGTGAGCCATGGCCGCTGGGACTGCGCGTCCGGGGCCTGTGCTCCCGCAACGGGAGGGGCGGCGGCACTGAGAGGCCCCCGAACCGCAAAAAAAAAAAAAAAAAAAAAGGGACTCTACTATGTGGGGAACTTATTATAAGTGACAAGAATAGAACAGTTAGGAGAACATCATCAGACTAGTCTAGCCCAGGGAGAAAAGTGTTAAGGAATGGTTTGGTTGGAGATATATTTTGAAAATATGGGGACAGATTTGCTGAATGAAGTAGGTGTGGTAACTCATAACAATGAGGCATTTCAGGGAAGAGAAGATGTGAAGAAAGGGGCAGGAGAGATTAAGATTTGAACTATGCTGCTTTGGACACATAGGCTAGACACTCGTAATAGGATTAGTTGTTGCTACATCCTCAGAAGTGGCAACATAGATCTGAGGCAGTAGACACTGTTGTTGCCTAATTCCAGCCAGCGGAAAGGGAAGGAGTGGAATGCAAACCACTTCCTTGTAATAACATGATCCAGAAGTTGAAGACATCACTTCTGCTCCCATCACACTAGACAAAGCTTACTTACACCTCACATGGCCTCTAGGAGGACAGCCATATGCTCAGCTGCACCTTAGGGGAGTCTATTATTAAAAGGAAGAAGAGGAGAAGGCATAACAGTGAAAAATGAACTGTCTCTAACGGGCTGGCACGACACTCAAGCAGGATGCCAAATAGGCATTTGAGACCTAAGTCTAAAAATGGGGTTTCTGTAACTTAATAAATAATATTTATGTAAAAATGAGAGCTAGCATACTGATAACATAGTAGAGAATTTCTTTTAAAATCACAACTAACACATGGTTATTGACTATTATTTAACATGTTTCTGGGCTGCTAAATAGTAAGTCAACTGATAGCACTAACAAGAATTAATAAGACTCTGTAATGTGACCAATTTCAGAAATATGCAAAATAGATGAATTTCATATATATACATATATGTGAGTAATTACATTTATAATAGCAATAAAATATGTGGGTCATTGTACAAACTTTAGAAAATACAGTAAATTAAGAAATAGAAACTAAAGATCACCTAACATCACTCTGCAGAGATGTCCACTATTAACATCTTGCTGTGTTTCCTTGTAAATATCTACAGATTAGTTTTTTTCTTATAAATCATGCTTATATTGCATATATTTTTAACATGTTTACTCTACCTAACTTGAGATTACCTTTTCCTATGCTTTTACATTGTTGGGTTTTTTAAACATAATTTTTATTATGGCATAAAAGTTTACATATGGTAAAGAGCTGAATGAAATTTGGGAGTTTCACCACTAAAAATGCTGACATTTCTTTGTTCAAGAGGAAGAAATGATTCTCCAAGCAGCAAGGATATTTCCTACATTCCAAAAGCTATTGAATATATGACACTAATAGACATTCTAATTCCTACCTCTTTAAAATCTCTGGTGTTAAAAAAAGACAATTGACAATATAATGATAGTAATATTAAGAAGTATCTGGTTTCTTATTTTTCTGAGTTACCAACAGATCCCAAGCTGCCCTGATATATTGCCTTGAGACATCACCATTACGAGAAAGAATCCTCCACATGTTTATGAGCCTTAATTTGCAGATTTTTTTTACCTGTAGTCACAAGAAATTACTTCCCTAAAGCACTTGTCAGGGATAGACTGAAGGATATATACCTTTCAGAAGTGATGAGAGATGCTTCTAGCAGTACTTTCCAAATCACCACCTAAGGATTCCATATGATTCCAAGAAGGCTTCGAGGGCTCTTGTGATGTCAGTATTGTCTCTGTGCAGCCTCCTCTCCCCCAACCACAGCAGGGTTCATAGATATTGAAGAATAAAGAAAAGGAACTAAAGGAAGTGACAATCTGGAAGGAAAAAGGAAATTTAAATCAGTTTTGAATGTACAAAGCCTAGAAGGCCAAAACCTGGAAAAGAGTAGAAACTCATCTGGTGTTCAACTCTGAGCTTCTATATTCTCATCTGCAAAAGAATGAACCAGTAATAATTGAGCTCTACCTCTATGTCAAGCCCTTTAAATGCATGATTTAATTTAAACCTCACGATTGTCTATGGTAGGGATTGTCATCCTAATTCTGTAAAGGAGGGGTCTGAAATTCAAAGCAGTTTGAAGTCAGGTCTCAGGTGATGCAACTAGTAAATGACCCCGGCAGGATTCCCCACCCATCTCTCTATGACACCCAAACACAAGCTCCTCTCATTTGTCACAATAAATGTACTTTCCCCACTGATTGTTGTGAATACTAAAAGTTTAGGATGAAAGAAGATTATAGTCATCTGTTAAAGGAAAATCCATATTGAGTTAAATTTGGCAAAGACCTAGAAATGGGTATTATTTAAATGTGTACTATAAATGGCACAGTTAAAGAGTATATGTAGTGAGAAAGAGGGAAAGCTGATGATATAACGGAAAATTTTTTCACTCCATTATATTATATATAGGAAATCTATATATTTTTAAAATTTGTCACATTAATAAATTCTTTTATTAGTTTTAATAATTAGAAGCCAGTTCATAAAGGGCCTTGGGTACCAGAGTTAGGAATTTTGTTTTTATATATCTATCTTGGGGTCCCACAAAAGAATTCTGAGCACAGTGGTAACAGCACAAGATTTGCATATTGAAAAGACTACTCTTCAAAGATTTATTTTGTGAGTAGAATGGTCTATCAGTAAAGAAAGTCTATGTTATATTGCAGTCAAAAATCTAAAATTCTCAGTGGCTTAAAACAACTAAAATTTATTTCTTGGTTTGTCTCAGGTTTAGGGTGGAGACAAGGGTGCTATTCCATTTCATCCTCATTCAACGACGCTGGCTGGCAGAGCCTTCACATGTGAGCATCACCGGCAATAATAGCAAAAGAGGGTAGGGGACATGTGACTTGAGCCCTTGTCCTGATAGGTTCCCAACAAGAAGTGACACATGTCACATCTCACATTCCACACAGGGACAAAACAGTGCGGTTTTACCTTGTGCTGGAAGGAAGAGAATTGAAAATACTGCTGAAGAGCACAAATATTTATCACTAGTAACTTTTTAAAAAAATGACACTAGACATAAGATCAGTCTACCAACTGATGAAATTCAACATGAAAGAGACAATGAGGACCTGAGTCAGGAAAGTGGCTGAGGGTAGAGAAAGAATAATGCGGGTCAAAGCAGTCACTACAGGACATGGACATATCTTGGATACAGATGGGGAAAAACAAAACACAAAATGCAAAGATCACCTATGCACCTAAAGTCTTGATAAAGTTTTGAGGTTTTTTCCAAAGTAGAAAGTGCTTTTAACTAACTTTTCAATGGGTTTAACCTGTTTTTTAAACGGTACTCAGGAAGAGCTTCAAGATAGCAGAAGAGTAAGAGGTGCAGATCACCTTCCAACCCACAAATACATCAGAAATACATCTACATGTGCAACAACTCCTACAGAACACCTACTGAATGCTGGCAGAAGACCTCAGACCTCCCAAAAGGCAAGAAACCCCCCACGTACCTGGGTAGGGCAAAAGAAAAAACAGAGACAAAGAATAGGGACGGGACCTGCACCAGTGGGAGGGAGCTGTGAAGGAGGAAAGGTTTCCACACACTAGGAAGCCCCTTTGCGGGCGGAGACTGCGGGTGGCAGAGGGGGAAGCTTCGGAGCCACGGAGGAGAGCACAGCAACAGGGGTGCGGAGGGCAAAGCGGAGAGATTCCCGCACAGAGGATCGGTGCCGACCAGCACTCACCAGCTTGAGAGGCTTGTCTGCTCACCCGCCGGGGCGGGCGGGGGCTGAGGCTCTGGCTTCGGAGGTTGGATCCCAGGGAGACGACTGGGGTTGGTGGTGTGAACACAGCCTGAAGGGAGCTAGTGCGCCACGGCTAGCCGGGAGGGAGTCCGGGAAAAAGTCTGGAGCTGCCAAAGAGGCAAGAGACTTTTTCTTGCCTCTTTGTTTTGCGGTGCGCAAGGAGAGGGGATTAACAGCGCTGCCTCAACGAGCTCCTCAGATGGGCTAGAGCCCCTGCTATCAGAGAGGATCCCAGAGACGGGCATGAGACGCAAAGGCTACTGCTGCCGCCACCAAGAAGCCTGTGTGCAAGCACAGGGCACTATCCACACATTCCCTCCTGGGAGCCTGTGCAGCCCGCCACTGCCAGGGTCCCATGATCCAGGGACAACTTCCCCGGGAGAACGCATGGCGGGCCTCAGCCTGGTGCAACGTCACGCCGGACTCTGACGCCGCAGGCTCACCCACATCCGTATCGCTCCCTCCCCACAGCCTAAGTGCGCCAGAGCCCCCGAATCAGCTGCTCCTTTAACCCCGCTCTGTCTGAGCGAAGAACAGACGCCCTCAGGCGACCTACATGCAGAGGCAGGGCCAAATCCAAAGCTGAACCCCCAGGAGCTGTGCGAACAAAGAAGAGAAAGGGAAATCTCTCCCAGCAGCCTCAGGAGCAGCGGATTAAATCTTCAGAAACAATGTGATGTACCCTGCATCTGTGGAATACCTGAATACACAAAAAATCATACCAAACTGTGGCGGTGGTCTTTGGGAGAAACGATATATATTTTTTTTCCCCTTTTTCACTTTTTGTTTGTGTGTATGTGTATGATTCTGTG